ATCGAGCCTAAAAATCTTATCAGTATGTCCTTTCATCTTCTGCTAGAACAAGAGCCTGCTTGAGGGGTTAGAGATGATAGCTCATTTTTCTATTCTCCAAACCACGCATACAGATTTTTGGTTATCCAAACACATGCTTCATTAACAACAGAGAAAAGCTAAAAGAAAAACACACAATTAGACTTTTTCACTGTATATAAATATTGTTTAACTGTCATGACTTACTTTCCTAATTCATATGATGACATGACGCCTGCACATGGTATGATTCCACAGTCTGATCTTTGAAAACACCACAAGGGGACAGTAATGCCTGAATCCTATCATTGCTCAGACACATAATCAAAGTTATTTTTATCACAGCCAAACTCACCTCATATGCCAAGGCAAATGTTCCCCAATGAATTGCTACAGATTTCTTTGTTTGGACATCAATGTGAATCCTTACAGCTTCTTCTGGGTCTACATGTTGGTATTTCATAAACCATCTGATGAAACACAGCAATTAATTAATTCTGACCATTGAAACATACACTAAATTCTAATTACTGGTTTAAAACCTATATCTCAAAAAAAAAAAAAAGCGAAGAGTCAACCTTGACTCCTTTCTTTGTATGGGTTTAATAAAGTACTATTACTTCATCTAAGTCACTAATTCGTATACCTCAAATACACACGTGGAAGACACCACAGATGGCAAAGAAGCCAAATTCTAACTATCCATTTCTAAATTTTGCTTAGGGCAGGCCCTGGACCCAGTAAAGAAGAGACAGGTTTTTATATTATCTCCTCTTGTCTCCAGGTCTGTTTTAGTCTAGCTATAAAACCACACTTATCCCACTGCCTGACACACAGTAGACACCAAATCAATGATTACTGGATTAGTAACATAGTTCTAGAAAGTTCCACACTGTCTAGCCTTACTTCTCCCATTGCCCTCCATGCACTCTATTCTCCTACTGAACTGATGAACTGACTCCTTGCTGTTCCCCATGCTTATTGTCTCCAATCCTCTGCTCTGCCCTTTCCTCCTCTGGAATCTCAGAGCCAAGTTCAAATGTCACTAGTTCCATGAAGTTCTCCCTGATCCTTCCCTTCAGGGACTATTTCATCTGTCCCACATTACAGCACTTATCCCTTCCAACATCTTTTTTTTTTTTTTTTTTTTGAGACAGAGCCTTAAGCTATCCCCCTAAAGTAGAATGCTTTAGAAAAAAGTTTCTATTGCAA